ATTTATATAATAATATATTATATATATTTATATCTAAGTTTAAATCATAACATCTCGTGTGATAATATGATTAATATCTTTTTTTTTAATACATTTGGTCCAGGTTCAAATCTCATACTTTACACATATTTTTTTCAATTTAATTTTTACAAGCCAATTTCGAGCAAAATATGAACTGAACACGAATATGAATATTTAACTCGAGCCGAACACGAACACAGTATTCACGAGCCGATTTCGAACACGAGCTATTTCGAACGAGCCGAACACGAGCCAAGCCTGAGCTCGCTCAAGCTCGGCTCTTACAGCCCTACACACGAGGTTCCAGTGGGAAATCCTGGAAAGTCGAAACCTAGAGCCCTTGATGGTGCAAACTGATCTGACGTAGGGAGTAAAAAAAGAACATTTCAAGTATGCTCTAGGCCTATGCAAGCCAAAATCAATTGCCGAGTTACTGAAAATGACTAACCACCATATCACCGCGGAGGAATACATCCTCAATGATTGAAAAGAAGCCCAAAAAAAACCCGTCAATTCACAGTCGCAGAAGAGAGCATCAAGAAATAACTAGAGAGAGAAATACGTTCCTCGTCCTCCTACTCGCCCTCATCGGGAAAGCAACCAATCACACTGTGAAAACAAAGGGAACTCTAAGGGTAACAATCGAGACTATCAGCCTCGGTACTCTGATCAGCGATCGACATGCTACAACGAGCGACCGCCAACACAACAAGAGTTACCAAAAATGAACCCCCCCCTGAGAATGTCAATTGTTGAATTAGTGGAAGCCATCCAAGCCAAAAATACAAAAAAAAAACCTCAGCCAATGAGAGCCGAAAGTTCAACACGAAACACAAACTAAGTTTTGCACCTACCACAGAGACCCCGACCACGACATAATCATTTTGCATATTGTGTATAGTTTAATCACTGAATTACTTATTTAGGCTCTGAAAAAGCTTAAATGTGCTAATTATGTAAAATTAACATTGGTTTCTTCATAAATATGTTTGATTTATGAAGGAATAAATCCTTTTATATGTTGTGAATTGTTTGTTTGATGAAGTAAGATCATTATTTAGGAAACTGTGCGAGTTATTGTATTTTTTATGTGGTTTTAGGATGACTTTATTAAGAAAAAAAATTGAGAAAATTCAATAAATTATCATTTTATATATTGTGAATGGTTTAACCACTGAAGTAGAATCCTTATTTAAGGCTTTGGGAAAATTGAAATGTAGTAACTATGTAAAAAAAATTAAGTTTTTTCATAATTATTTCGAATTTATGAAGAAATAAATCTATTTTCTTGATGTGCATTGATTGTTTGATGAAGGGAGATCATCATTTAGAGGACTATGAGAGTTGGTCTGTATTTTTTTGTGGTTTTAGGATGGCTTTCTTCAGAAAAAAAAGTTGAGAAAATTCAATAAACTATCATTTTATATGTTTTGTTTAGTTTAATCACTGAAATAGAATCCATATTTAAGGCCATGGGAAATCTGAAATGCAGTAATTATATAGAACTAGCATAGTTTTCTTCATAAATATTTTAGGCTTACGAAGGAATATATCTATTTTCATGCTATGCATTGATTATTTGCTAGAGTGAGATCATTATTTAGAGAAATGTGAGAACTATTATGTGTTTTATCAAGTCTTAACATGAATTTCTTTAGAAAAGAGTTGAGAAAATTCAATAAATTATCATTTTACATGTTGTGTATAGTTTAATCATTAAAGTAGAATCCCTATTTTGAGGCTCTAGCAAAGCTGAAATGCAACATTATGTAAAATTAGCATAAGTTTCTTCATATGTATTATGCATTTATGAGTAATAAATCTATTTTCATGTTGTGCATTGAATTTTTGCTGAAGTGAGATCATTATTTTGGGAAATGTGTGAACTACTATTTGTTTTAATGAGGTTTTAGGATGCCTTTCTTTAGAAAAAAAAATGTTGAGAAAAATCTAATAAATTACCATTTTACATGTTGTGTATGATTTAATCACTGAAGTAGAATCCCTATTTATGGCTCAAGGAATTTGAAAAGCAGTAATTATGTAAAGTTAGCATATGTTTCTTCATGAATATTTTGGATTTAAGATAGAACAAATCTATTTTCTTGTTGTATATTATTTATTTACTAAATTGAGATCATTATTTAGGAGACTATTTGAGTTGTTATGCGTTTTTATGAGGTTTTAAGATGACTTTCTTCAAAAAAAAGTTAATAAAATTCAATAAATTGTCATTTCACATGTTTTGTATGGTTTAATCATCAAAGTATAAGCAATACTTATGGCTTTCGAAAAGTTAAAATGTAGTAATTATGTAAACCTAACATAAGTTTTTTCATAAATATTTTGGATTTATGAAGGAATAAATCTATTTTCAAGCTATGCATTGATTATTTACTGAAGCGAGATCATTATTTAGGGAAATGTGTGAGTTTTTATGTGTTTTTATGAAGTTTTAGGATGACTTTCTTAAGAAAAAGTGACGCGCCAAAATTTACCGAGGGACAAGTCGGTCGTACAACGTAGGTACACATGTTAAATAGTAATACAGTTAAAGAGTATCATATATCGACCCCACAAAAAATTTTAACAGTTGTTTTTCACAGAAAAATCTCTAGTTTACTAATTTAGCTAACCTAACCTGGCGTGATCACAAAGAGAGTTTTAAATCCTAAGGCTTTAGCAAAACAAAGCAAAGAGAAGACAACATAAAGCAAAAACAACGGAAAGACTTTTGTGAGTTTCTTGAAGATTTATGAGATTCGTGCCTTTGTGATTTGGGGATTGTGACGATCGTGATTTTCCTACATATTTTTCCTACGTGATTATTATAAATCGAGGATAGAATACTCATTATGCATATTTCTAAGTCAAAAGAAGCCTATAATCAATGAAATCGAGGCTTCATCAATCCTCATGACATTTTTCATGACTCTTACGATCCATTGGAATAATTGCAGAATTCCATTGGAATATGTTTATTCTCTTGGAATTTTGTGGTTAACCTTTTGTTTTCCACTACACAACGATTAGAGTTCGTAGTTTGACAAAATATTTTAACATCCTGGTTGGCCATAATATGAGTAAAATATGTTAGGAGGTTAACCAACAATAAAGCCATGAAAGCTTGAAGAAAATGCTTAACAAAAAAACATTATGGAAAAACTACGATAAATCCACTACTCCTTACATTACAGAAACACAAAGAAGAATTTAGCCATGCATCACAGAGAAAACTATAGCAATAAAAACTATGCAGAAATACAATGCAAACAAAAAAATGCATGAAAGACTTATAAGTCTCTTGTTCTCTTCTTGATGACAACAACTCTCTCTCTCATACAAAGCTCTCACAACTCACCAAGCAAAGGAAAAATTCCTCTTTTTGGTTTCTCCGAAAAAGGAAGAAAACTTACAGGAGAGCACTCAAAATGTCTCCCAAATTCGCCTCCAATAGCCTCTAATCTTTATCTGGTGTAGAACTCCTTCCAAGAAGCCCTAAGAATTAATTTTATAGAAAGAATCATGGCTTAGACCATTAAATTTCCTTCTTAAAGTGTTTTCCCACTCTTCGGTGTGGTCATGCCACAGAACTGCAGGGGGCGGCGTTGTCACGCCCTGCCCAGGATGACATGATCATGCCAGGTGTCTTCGATAGGTGGTGTGGCGACATCACTTTTAAGCATGGTCACGCTGTTTCGAGGCACTTTTTAACTTGATTTTCTCGTTCCAACTTGTTCGTATTTAACTCTTATATCCCGCACAACATTAAAGGAAACCCTTCTCAAGTGTAAATTTGTGATAACTACACAAGAATAACATGTAAAATGTAGGTAAAATGACAAGTAAAATCACGTAAAATTTCCCCATGTCAATACTCTCAAACACCCTATTAGTTGTCTTCAAGTAATCAAATGACTCAGTTAGACATTATGAATTGAAGCGAGATTCATGTAGAATTCTTATCATTCAAAATATTTATCAAAAGCTATTAAAAGTGTTAAAAGTCATTTAGGATCAATTAGCTTTACTAGTTAATAACTTGATGTCTACTTAATTC